GCGGGCACCCTACGCGGCGCCAGGCTGGGGGCGCTCTCCGGTTCCGCAGACCCCTTGGAAGGGGGCGGGGGGGGGCATGCCGTTCAGACAATCGCCACCCCCTTGGGACCTTTCCCGGCCCCCTCCCCCCCGTGGAGTTGGGGAGATTTGGGGTAACCGCTACGACGCTGGTGGGAAAACTTCTGCCTCGGTGGCCCCAGATCCTTGAAGTGTTTGGGTCGGAGGGTCTCACGAGGTCTGGCCGGCGGGGCTTGCCGCCTGACTGCAAAGCCTTGTCCACATTAAAGGTGGAGATTTGAATGGGGAATGGAGCCGTCGTCATTCCTCGGAGTTTGGGGTTCGTTTTTATTTTTCTTGGGAGACAAGCAGCCCCTGGTTCCGCCCGAAGCATTGTTTCCCAAAGTGTGGTCCAGGGACTTGCGCGCACGCCAGCCACCTGGGAGCGCGGGCGCTTATTTTAAAAAGCAGAAAGCTCTCCGGCCCCACCCATCTGGCCGGGGCTGGGTTGCCGGAGGGATGATGGAGGGGGAGAGACCCGCCCTTTCCTGGGAGATTCGGGAGCACGTAAAGTTGGAGAACGCCTGGCACAAGGGTTTGCACACACCTACCTGGCACATGGTGAGCGCTTAGCCTGTTAGCTGTTACTAGTTGCAGTTTGGGAGACTTTGGCTCCCCAACTTGGCAGGGTATGTTATTTGCATAATTTGTGAAAAGCACAGATTTTCCTAAACCCCAGCACCCCTTCACCCGGCCTCCTTTAAGGCCCCTTTTTGAAGTGGGACTCAGATGTGTCCATGTTTAACTCCTAGCCCACCTCCCCCAGGTCATTCTGATGCCTAAACAGGTTTGGAGAACTTGGCAAAGAAAAATAAATTCTTTTTGCTGGTGGTGAGCACGAGCTGTGCCCAGAGTTTTTTGTGTGTTTTTTTTTTATTTGGTCTCAGTTCATTCTCACTACAAGTGCAAAGGTAGGTAATGTTTTATCATTCCAGATTTTCAGATTTGCAAATTCAAGTGGGGTCCCTCTGTCATAACCCAACCAGGAGCCATGCTGGGGGCTGGGGACCCCTGCGCTGGCCTTTTACAAGCACCACCTCATTGAAGCCTCTAACCTGGCTGTGAAGCCGAAACTTCTCCCCGTTTCATCCTGGGCATCAGAACCGTCCGCGATGCAGGTCCCTTCATCTCTTGGTCCCTTGTTTCCAGTTAGCCCCATGGGCACCTCAGCAGCCCTGCGGCAGGTTTTGAAGGAAAGGCTTCCTTCCTCCCAATCAAAGTACTTAAGTGCAGGTTGGCTGATAAGGCCCTGCCACGCCCCGGCTAGGAGCACCTCTCCGCAGCCGGTCCACCTCATTGTATTTCCCCACAAAGATCTCTTGTCTTAGTTAGACTTGGGGGAAATTGAACAGAATGTAACCGACTTAGAATTTTTCAGGAAATTCATACATGGATGCCAGCCATATATGCGCAAAATATTTCTCATATCGTTTAGGCATGGGAAAAGTTAGGAATAATATAAAGACCTAGTAATTACTGAAATTTAAGAAACACGGGGAACATGAAATAATGTGAATGTATTATCACATAATTATATTCACAGATACATTTTAAAGATGTAGCACAATGCTTATGCGATCTTATGTGGGGAAGAGGTTAATTTTACAATACGTTATGATCTTAAACAATTTTCAATTAAAAACAATTTTTAACTGAAGATGAATGGAAGAAAATATTTCGTAATGTTCGTGGTACACATGCTGCTTCTCTTCTAAATTTTCTTTTATAAACATGGGTTTCCTTAGAAGAAGACAAAGTAAATTTTTAAAATAAAAATTAAGGTTCTCATGTTAGAGACTTATTAACTGGTGTTTCTTTATTCAATAAGCATTACACAGCCCTTTCTAATATAGGGCCAGGTACTGTGGTGGGTACTTTATAAAGTTACACAGTATTACTAATCAGTATCATTACTCGGGAGACAATGCCCCTGTCAGTTAGGAATGGATTTGGGCCATACGTAACAAAACTGATCTATGCTAGCCTCATGAGAAGTCTGCAATTGGTTGATTCAGGAGATCAATGAAGTAAGGGCCAGCATCTGTAGGCATCTCAACATTGTCCTCATAGTTACAGTATGGCTGCACAAGCCCCTGCAATCACATCTGCATTCAAAGCAAAATGCCTGTTCCCTTTTTATCATGAAAGCCAAACTTTCTCCAGAAACTCCTTTAGCAGTGTGCTGCAGGGGTTCCCAAGTATGTAGGGGACCAACATTATTTAGGGTGGTGGCTCTTACAATTGGAGGGGCGGGTGGATAGGATTTGGAAATGTGGAGGGATTCGTTTTCATGACTGGGAAGTACAACCATTTTTTTTTCTTGTTTGATTATCTTTTTTTTTTTTTAATCCTTATGGGGAGGGAAAAGAGGTACAACCATTCTTTAGCTGGGCGGGTAGATGGCTGCTGATTTTTTGAAGTGCAGGGCAGACATGCATATCAAAGAACATTCTCCTGTAAAATGCCACTCGTGCCCCTAAGGACAAAAATGTGTTCCAAGCCATTACTTGGGTCTGGGTGCGTTACTGCTAGGACAGACTCGGAAACCTGTGTGCAAGGAAGAAGAGGGAAGTGGAATGGACATTGAGCCGGCAACTGGCCATGTCTGCCACCATGCCCTGTTTTCCTACATGGGTTTGGTTTGTATTGTAATTTCACAATGTTTGGGATTAATCTGTCACTTTCCCTTTGTCCCATGGAGTTCCTGGGGGCACAACGGTGCTGGTCGAGCTGACCCCCGACATCCATATCTGTGGCATCTGCAAGCAGCAGTTTAACAACTTGGACGCCTTTGTAGCGCACAAGCAGAGTGGCTGCCAGCTGACCAGCACGACCGGGGCGGCGCCCAGCACCGTCCAGTTCGTTTCCGAGGAAACGGTGCCTGCCACCCAGACACAGACCACCACCAGGACCATCACCTCGGAGACCCAGACCATCACAGGTACTGCGGGGTGGTGGGGAGCCGGGCAAAGTGGGCCATGTCCCAGGCGCCGCCACGGAACTTGTGAAAAATATAGTTTCCCAGGGTTCACCCGCTAGGGTTGCTGGTTCATTATTTTTAACAAGCTCCACTGGGAAACCAGCCGCCCAGCAGGGTTTGGGAACGGCAGGGTTAAAACATTACGTGTTAGCAGGTATACATGTTGTCACATGTTAAACAAAACAAAATTAAAAAAACAAGTTTCTAAAGCAAAAACCTAATACTAAGAGGAAGAATACTCGCAGGACATGCATTGCTGTTAAAAAAAAAAAAAGATAGCTATTCTGGGTGATGGGAATATGTATGTGGTCTTCGCATTTGCATTATTTGTATTAAGGGATAAAAAAAAGAGGGGTTTTTTTGCTTGCTTGTTTTTAACCCTATAAGCAGGCATTGATGCCTCCCTCCCCTGGGGTACAACCAGGAAAACAGAAAATTTCATCCCAGTTCTGGGTGGTATCCGTTCACTCCACCAAAAATAAACTGTAGATGGATCCCAAATTTAACTGTGGGTAATGAAACCATAAAAGTCCTAGAGTAAATACTATACACACAGACGCACACACATGTGTACCCACAGACACACGCGCACACACAAACACATACATACACCTACACTTACACCTATATAACCTGTCTTAAGGGGTCAGATAACTTTACAAATATGAAGTAACCCATTTATATGTTAGTACTGACATTGTGGCGTCCTGTGGGGAATTGGAGAATGTATTCCTTAGCTAAAGGCATCCACATTTTTAAATTAAAAAACAAAAAAATACTGTGCCTACCAAAGAAGACAGGTTGTGGACACCACCCTCCACCACCACCCCCAAAGAAAAAGAAGCATGTAAGTAGTTGCAGATTAACTTGCAGTTTTTCCAAAGTAAAAACAATATATTGAAAAGTCTAAAGACAACTGGAGAAGAGTATTGCAACATATGTGACTAAGGCCTAATGTTCGTCACATGTAAAGAACTCCTAAAAATCAGTGACGTTGAGAAAAAGAACCAAGTGGAAAAGTCGGCAAAGGCAATAGGTGCTAGACAAGAGGCACCAGCAGGGAAGTGTGCTTTCTGCCTCCGCAGTGAAAGACATGCCTGTCGACAAGGCTTAGCGGGGGGAGCTGCTCCCCTTCCTGGGGAGGTAAATTCACACAACCTGGGTGATGTTGTGGTATCTTTTGTGTTTTCAATGTTAGATTTCAGATCTTTCACATTTCAAAGTGTACATGAAACACATTTACCCAGTAAGTCCACTCTCAGGTATTTATCCTGTAAAACTTATAGTGCATACTGTAAAGAAAGTGGAACTTTTATATGTCTACAACAAGAGGAAATTAGATAAATCAATATCAGAGATTCAGACAGTGGAGTAAAACTTGACCTTGAAAAGGGGAGCTAGATCTATATGCAGACAGAGAAAAATCTCAAAGTGTAAAACTCATACAGATGCATACATATATATCATTATATTCAAGGGCAGCTTCTAGGACAGGAGTGAGGCAGGTCATACTAATGAGAGGAATGTAAACAGTGCACATTAGGGAATGGTGAGGACTGTGGGAAAGCGGAGAGAGCTGCTCTTTGGATGCAATCAGATACTTGAGTTTTTCGGAGAAACCAACCAAATGTGAAATTTCCCAAACTTTGCAACTTTGATGGCCAAACAAAACACATCTGTGCGCCTGACTGAGCCACAGGCTTTTTTTTTTTTTTTTTTTTTTTTAGCATATTCTCATGTTATTACCAAATAGTTCATCTGGAGCTGAGGCGTGGAGAACACCACCTGCTTTCTCTTCATCGAATATATGTTGCTGTGATGTTTGAATTTGTTGGTAGTAAGCAAAGTTCTGCAGTTGTTTCCCTAATGCACCCAAAATAGTGTTTCTGCTGAGTTTTTAAAACATTGAAATATCATTAACTGGTCACCTCACAAACCTTAATAATAATACTTCAAGGTCTTCCCACTCTCTCCAGAGTTTATCTTAATTGTTATTTTAGAGGAAGTCGCCAAGAACATTTGAAACCGAAAATACACCTTGGAGATGGGCCTGGTGCAACCTTCTCATCCTACAGCTAGACCAGTGTAGCTGTAGATGTGGGTGAGTCATGGCCAGGGTCCCACCACAGGATTAGGACAGTCCTGGGACTCAGGTACCGTGGCCCTTACCCCGGGCGCCTTCTCTCTGCAGACTCAGCTCCCTGCCCTCAGAAGCAGACGCCCGGTAACCTCACACTATGCCATGGTGCCACAGTGTGAGAAGGTGTCGAGGCCCACACTTCATTTGTGTTCCAATCGTTACATCCTTCTGTGTTCTGAGCCTTTGCCTATGATGTTCCCTCTGCCTGAAATACCTTTCCTGTCTTTGCCTCGCTTACGCCAGCTCAGCCTAAGAGTTTAAGGTTTATAACTATCTGCACACAGAGCATCTGGCTTATCCTGGAACACCCCCTCCCCTGTGAATTGCAGCAGCCATGACGCACACCTTTCTGTTTTCCAGAGGAGCCAGGATTCCTCTGGCCTCAGAGCCGCCGTGCATGTTGTTCCTCTGCCTGGAACTGACTTAATTCTTAGGCGTCCCTCAGAGCTGCACCTAGAGGTATTTCCTCCAACTCCCCTCCTTAATACCACACTCATACACTATTCTCTCAGACCAGGTCAGGTCCCCATAACTCAATGATTATGTAGGCATGAACCTTAAGGTCTGCCCCATCACTGAACCATAAGCACCATGAATGAGGTCAGGGCTGCACCCCTCATGTTCACGCTGCATCCCCAGCGCCAAGGAGGTGCTGGGCAGGAGGGTGCTCATTCTGGGTTGAGTAAATGAACCACTGACTACCCAAGTGACATTCATCAGTGAAACTGACCCCACACCCAATGGCCCCTCTGTCCTCCTAGTTCTTGGCCCGATGACATCCATCTCAGCATTTCCACTGCCCACGTTCCTTCACTCATGCTGTGCCTCAGTTGTGCGTATCATCCTGTACGCTCGGGCCAGACCTGGAGTCCTCTTTGTGCCTAACTCATGGTGGCACCCACTGCACATGTCGAAGGGAGCACCCAGCTCCGAGCTCTGAGCTCCGGAGACAGACAGCCGGATCGCATCGCAGTCTAACGCCCCACAGCCCTGGACCGGGCAAGTCACTTACACGGTCTGATTAATATTCCTCACCTGGCCCTCCTTGGTGTGCTCAGTGGTTAGAGCGTCGGCCTGCACATCGCAGGGTCTTGGGTTTGATTCCTGTTCAAAGGCACATACCTTGGTTGCAGGCTGGATCCCCGGCCCAGTAGGGGCTTGTGCAGGAGGCAACCAATGGATGTGTCTCTCACATTGATGTTTTTCTCCCCCACGTCTTCTCCCCCCACCTCCCTTCCACTCTAGCTAAAAGCAGTGGAAAAATACCCTTGGGTGAGGATTAAAAAAAATAATTCCTCGTCTGTACCAAGAGATCATCATGGTACCTAACACTATCAGGGCAGAGTTAGCACCAGGCATTGTCAGGATTCTGCAGCGATCCACGGAAAGGACCTGGGACAGAGGGATGGGACTCAGCAAAGGACTGATTTTCTTAACGAGGAGGTGAATGAACAGATGGTGAGATCTGCTGCTCTTCTGCCCGACTCAGCTGCCCTTTCCGGTCGCTCCTGCACCTGTGCCACAAAACAAGCGCAATCTTGTGGGTTTCCTTTCTTCCACACAACTTAGTTTGGTTTTCTGGGCCCAGCTCCCCCTACACCGGGGCATCAGTGTCCCACCCGTGACAGTGCTCAGACCTGCCTATGGACCTGCTGTGGACTGGAGTCCCCAGGGAGCTTGTTAAGGACCTCGGTGCCTGGGCTCCGGGCTGAGGCAGGCACCTGGTGCTTAACAAGCTCCCGGGGGACTCCGGTCTCAGCCAGGTGGGAGAGCCCCTCCCCGCCCGAGGCCACAGCCGGGACCCGGACACTGGCAGCTCTCCAGATGCCCCTCCCAGACGCGGTCCAGGCGTATTTCTCGCTCTTTGGTCCTTGATGAAGCCGACCTCCTCGTCACTCAGCTCCTGGGTCTCTCTGTCCTACAATAGCTGGATGTACAGTAGCATGTATTCTCCGCCGGTAGTTTGGAAGCTTCCTGCTTCACATTGGATTGGAGAACTTGCCTGTAGGAGCAGTAAACTTAGATGCTGGTGCTGGTTGGGGGGAAATAGCATCCCACGTGCATTTTCTAAGTTCTGGCTTAAAATCGTGGGGCTTTGGAGGCAGGGGCCTGGGTTCGAGTCTTGGCTGCATGGGGCCGGAGGAGCCAAGGACTCTGGGTGTCTCGTTTTTAAATTGGAGGCAGGAATAAATGGCAAGTTCGGGGCCCTGAGCCGGACGGGGCGGAGCTCCTGCCGTGAGCACTTGCAGTCACCGTGGGCAGGTCACTTAGCCCCATGTCCCCGCTTCCCCAACTGTAACACGGAAGTGATGGGGTTGCAGTCACCTTGGGGGTTCTAACCCGGCTGTGGGGCTTCTGCATGGAGGACACTTAGCACTGTCAGTGTCAGCTCTTGTTCAGTGAATCGGGCTGTGAAAACTCTACAGGACCCGGAAAATGCCGGCGCCGGGCCTGACTCATGGCAAGTCCCCCGCCAATACTAGTTGAATTGATCACTGGACCTAGAATGATCTGTTCATCTCCTTTGGTTAGTTTTCACTCTGCAGGTCCCATGTTAAAAGTCACCTCCACCTAGAAGCTAGCCGTGATTTCCCTCCCGCCACTCCTGAGATGAGGTTTCTCCCTGCCTCCCACCTAGCACTCACCACAGTCGTAACTGACCAGTTACTTGGTGACAAGCAGTTTTTACTTGGCTAGAGAAGTGAAGTGGGCTGCTGTTGGGGGTCTGGCAGTGTGGTGGATGCAGCAGCCGGAGAGTGGGAGGGCCATGGGCAGCCAGCTGAGAGAGGAAAGCGGCCGGACAGCTGGGACCCATTGTCGG